TTGTTTGTTTGTTTTCGTAAAGAGGGGAGTGAGGATTATTGTCATCCTTCCCATGATATTAAAATGCCTGTTGCAGCATTTCTGCAAAGAGTTTTTGTTCCAGCTTGCTTTCTGACTCATTTTAAAAGTGGCCTCTGATGCCGCACAGATTGTTGGCGAGAAAGGAGGAGAGAAATGGGGAGAATACCACAGCATGTTGTTTTCTAGGCTGAATGGGTGATGGGTGGGAAACAGGCAGCACAGATCTGTCACTTTTTTGGCCTGACTGGGAAAATAATGTTTAAAAACAGCTCTTCACTATTACCAGAGAAGAGAAAATGCATATCTGAGCAGAAACTTTGTCTCAAACAACACAAGATGCTTAAGGTATAGACTGAGAAGGGTTTTGTACAGCCTTTGCCAGACAGACCCTTTCCTCTGAAACCTTTCAGCAGAGTGTTCTGAAACGTGACTTTTGCTGCATTAAAAGTCAGATAAACATGACAAGAGAGTGCAGCACTACAGATAATCTGGGGTTTGGGCTGCTTGCTGAATCAGCCATTTATATAAAAACATTTTGGAGAGGAGACCGAGATATTCAAATTTCTTCTTCTTCCTGCTCTGAATAACACTTACTTCTAGTTAGGGCTTGTCTGTGTCCTGAAAGGGTATTTTGGGTTTAAGGGTATTGAAGGAAACCATGAAACAAGCCTGGTAGTCAAGGGGTTAAAGTGTGTATGTACATTCACAGCACACTTAGAAGGCAACAAAGCTCCAGCGATGCCCTGGGGCACAGGGAAGTACTAGGAACGGGTAATTGCACAATGTTCTTACTCCTTGGGGGACTATTTTTCATCAGGACTAGACACTTGTAAACTGCACTGTTTATTCTGCCTTGTCTTGACCTGTGTCACTGCTCAGCAGGTGTTAACAGCACAGACTTTTGGTCCCGTGTCCATGACCGGGTGGGAACACATGGTGACATGATGGTGAGAGGGAGGTGAAAGCCCTTTTTCTTCATCTTTTGCTTTCTAAGAGGAAGTATGGGAGAGCAGGTGGCACAAGTTGGCCAAACCGAGCAAAAGGGCTGGAAGAAACCTTGCAAATCCCCTGCTCCACCTTTCCATTTTCCTCTCTTTCCTCTGGGCTTTCCCATTTCAATGGGGAAATGCCTCAGCTAAGGCTCACAAGCACCCTTGGCATAACACTCCTGTCTATAGAGGCAGGTGAACAACATCAACCTGTCCTTCTGGGGACTTCATCCCTCCCTCTCTGCTCAGTTCATGAGCAGAGTACCTCAAATGTTGACTGATGAGAGCAGATAAGCAGCTGGTCTCTTTTTGCCCCCCTCCTCATACTGCCTACATCAGGAGCTGCTCCAACACCTACCAAATATCCTCTCACCCCAAGCAAGCATAACATTCTCCACCAAAAATGGAAAAAAAAAGCAACAAACACAACACTGTTTTCCCAATAACAGAGTACTGCCTTCCTTTGAGCACCCACAAAAAGGGTTCTCATTCCCAGCGTATGCACTAAATTTGGTTACCTGGAGAGTTTCAGATGGATATTTTTTACAACTCCTCTTGGTCTCTTGCAGGTTCTTCTCTGAAGTGTTACAGCTGCAAGTCAAAACTTAGCAACAGCCAGTGTCAGGAAACGAAGAACTGCAGTGGAAAGAGCATGTGCAAGACAGAAGTGATCAGTAAGTCAAAGTGGGGGTGGGCAACGCATGGGGGGGCTGTGTTGTTGGAGCCATGCACGGCCCCAGCCTTGGGTGCCCAATCATCCCCACCTTATCTAGACACACCAGCTGGTGTGGACCAGCAAAGCCCAGAGTTCATCAGGAAGAGAAAAGTCATCTGGTGAGAAGTGGTGAGGAAAAACTTTCCGATGAGTTCCAGTTTAAATAGGAATGACAGAAAAACAATGATTAACCCTTTTTGATATCTAATGTCTTATTAGTTGTCCTGGCCATCACCAATGGTGTGATTGCAAATCCATGTGGATGATGTGTCTCAAATTCCTCTGTTTGCCAGTAGATCATGTGAAATATTGAGCAGTATGGCTGGTGCCTGGAAAAATATTTGAGAGTGCAGCTGCTTTGTACTGCACATAGCTGAGCAGGGCAGTAGCTGTTAAGGACAAGGCAATATGAATAATATCTACTAATTTCTCTCACCTGTGCAAAATAAGGCTTCGTTTTATTCCTTAATATCAAATACTTTTTTTTTTTTTCCTTACAAGGGCGATATTTAAGCTTATGGCTTTGAAAAGTTAGAAACATGGGTTAAAATGTGAGGGGCTGCACTTCAGCAAAAACTAACTAGGGAAATTCAATGGAAAGGACAGAATTTCACATTGCCCATCACAGCCAGCTCTGAATGCAACCAGCTGTGTGTCTCCAGGTAAAATCTCTTAATGGATGACTTAATTCTTCCATTCTGGAAAAATAAACCTTGTTTACCCTGTGCAGATCTGTGGTGCCTGCTCAGTTGCTCTTGGGGCACAAAACCCATTGGTGGCATGTTCAAAGTCATCTGTCAGGCAGGGAATGCAATATCTCCAGTAGGCACCCTCTTTGTTAGTAGTTCACATACCGATGGCCATGCATTCACATAAAGGAGAGCCATTATGAATATGGCAAAGACACGATGCCTTGATTAAATTATGCAAGACCAGGAGGTCTCATGTAAACTGTAATCTGACCACAGGGAAAAACAACAACAAAAACAGGATGTGCATCTGACAACAGATCAGTAACTCAATAACTCTATCATACATGAAATGGGCATAACCCTGTTTCTGCAATTCCCCTGGATGATGAAGGGCTCCACGTAATGAAGGTGTATAGGATAGGTGCAAAAATTGCCCCCACACACTTGTTCCTCATCCCTTTGTAGTGTAGATTCCCAGACAAAGCTGTAAATGGTTGCTTTTGCTATTAATTATATTATCAACATTTATGCAGGTGGTGCTGTTTCAGAAGCCCCTGAGAACCGTGCTGTAGAACACACTGCCTCAAGCAAATGATCAGGGATTGAATTCCTTCCCTCCCTACTGACAAACAGACACCCCAAAAATAAAACCTGCAATAGCAAAACATGCAGATTTATTTTAAATATTTTTTTCCCATGCAGTAAACCCAGATAAGAATTAACACCTTATTATTCAGATCCGTGATCCTTAGCTTAGGATAACATTTCCTTAAGTCCTTGGAGTAATGGTCCTGTTTCCTTCCAGGGCTCATTGGGCTCTTCAACATCATCAGCAAGGGCTGTGAACCAACATGTGAAGCAGACTTTCAGGACTTCAAAGTGGGCAACAGGAATATCTCTTGCTGCGGCACCGACCTCTGCAACACCAATGCAGCTGGCAGTGTGAGGAGCAGCTATGGGATGGCAGCAGGGATATCAGCCAGTGTGCTCTGGGCCTTCCTGAACAACAGATGGTGAGGAGGAAAGAGGAATCCCATGACCACGGGAAGTCTTGGAGCAACCCAGTTATGATGGGAATTGTAGCTGGAAGCAATTTGGTGTGTTGCATACAGTGTCTTTGGAGCTGATGGCAGATCTTTGCCTTATGATAACTTCTTTATTGCTATTGCTGTATTGTTGCTAGATGAGAAAATGTGTGTGCATACAATCCATGTAACACCTAAAATATACTTATTTCTAAACTGAATGTGAGTGTGTTGCATGTATATCACTCAGCCATGTATTCCAGCACTCAGCAGGAGCTGCAGGTGCATCTGTTTTGAAAGTCTGGCCATTTCTCAGTCTTGGTCATTGCAATGTAATGACCATGTGTGCTGAGAGATGCCATGGCACAGCAGAATAAGGTTGGCAACTGTACCTCCAAAACTCGAGGGGCCCTAATTTATGACAAATTCTGAAGGGCACATGCCCCAGGAATCACACCTGAAAAGGAACTTACTTATGACCAAGAAATCCTGGGATCCTGCAACTTGTTAGCTACCACACAAGACAAAAGCAATGTCCATGTTCCCTGTTACATGTGTTTATGGTCATTCCTACACCTTCCCACAGCTGTAGCATCCTTGGGATGCTACAGGTACCTGGAGCACCATGGCAGACAGTAACTGTTGGAGAGAAGTAGAAAGTGTGTTCCCAGTGTGTCCTGGTTGATCCATGGGTGACCTGAGTTTGCCTACAAGATGTGGGTGTGCCCACAAGTCTTTGTCAAGTCAGCACAGCAGTGGGTGGAGGACTGAAAGGGAGGGAGGTTGGCCAAGTGCCCCATTTTCCTCCCTCATACCCTAAGGACTCCTGGAACTGCAAAGGATGTGCAGAGCCACAGGCTGAAATAACAGAGAACCATTTATTCCGAAGAGATGAGTCATCTGCAGATGACCAGAGTACCCATTGCCACGGGACAAAGGCCAACATCAAATTTTGGATGAAGTTAATGGGATGTCAGAGAATAATGACACTGTCTGCTGTTGTGAAAGAGAAAAGTACCTAAATCCTTGGGACACGAGGCATAAACAAGCTGTTAATTGTAGGAAGCAGGGAAGGGGTTTTCCCAAAGGGTAATCTGGAATGAACCACCTTCTTCATACCAGTACTGTCTGGTTATCAGCAGAGGGAGGATATGGGACACCTGTGGGGTATTTTATTTTGTTTTTTGCAAACCTCCTGAGTCTCAGTCATTGCAAAGGAGGCTCATCCATCAGTACGCATCCCAACCAGGCTGTTTTCTGCATGGCTGACCAGCTCCCTGACCTCTCCAGTCCAGGGGCTCATTTTCTTGTGCTGTAGGAAGGTCCCTGATGTGTTACTGCTCTGTGCCCACTCTCTCAAATAATTCCCAGGCAGTGAGACATGTCCACACCCAGGGATGGTTCCCAACTACCATAGTCACAGCAGCATGACTGTGATAGCCCTGCCTGGAGACTGGGAGTTTGGCTGTATGGGAATGGTCTAAACCTGTTAGCCAGCCCAGCCAGAGGAGTCCCCAGTGATGTTCAGTGAGGTGCAGCATCTGTGATCAGCTCCCAGCTGCTGGAGAGGTCAAACACATTAATTCTAGGGATATACCTTGAGTTTTTGCATGTACTGTGGGGTAAGGAGAGGTTTGATAGCTTAATGTGAGGACCAGCTGGGATGGGCACAGTAAAATGCAGGATAGGAAGCATCTGCAGACATGATGTGGTACAAACTGGTGGGACTCACTGCCTCTCAATGGGTCCTGCCATGGCACTTGCAATAACAAAACGCTTCACTCCCCATTCAGGTCACCAAGAGACAGTCTCAAAAACAACTTAATTCTGGGAAGGGTTAGGAGGTGGCACGCTTAGGTAGAAAAATGACTCAGCCATGGGTCAGAACCAGGGCTGGGTCAGGGCAGGACCAGGAAGAAGACTGCTTTTGCAGGTGCTGTGACTGCATGTTGACAAAAAGGCTGGCCTCCCCTCCTGCTTTGCAACCCCCTAATAAACACAGACAGGAATTGTTCCCTCCTGCTCTGTTCTGGACCCTGTTTCAGCAGTGTGGTCAGTTAGTGCAGCCAAGCTGGCATCACACAAATACACAAGCTCTGGCTGAAGGTCAGTTTGCTGAGAAAATGTGCTGAGAGCTGTTTGCTGGGTCCAACACAATATTTTTTTGAAAACAAAGCTATGTTTTATTCCCCCATAAAAGTTGTTTCTTGACTTTGCAGGCTGAGAAGTTCTTTCAGTTCTTCTCCACACTTTCTTTCCACACTTTCTTCTTTCCATACTTATCAAGAGGCCTAAAATTGACATTCCCTTTAAAAAACTTAATCTACCATGTACGCAAGAGATTTCTATACTTTCAGGATCATTCATTTAAATAATAAAGAATTGCACAATAAAATGGATTTTTTTTTTCCAAAGGTCAGTATTTACATTTTCTAAAAGCTGCATTTATATTAATTGAAAGTAAAACCAATTCTCTAGTGATGGTACCTCCTACAGATGGGAAAAGTAAAAAAACTCTGATCCAGAATAAATGTTTTGGGATGATTTTTATGATAGGAAACATTACAAATGTGCATTCAGAGTAAAACAAAAGTGTTTCTTCGATTATCTCTGTGGTACTGTATTTGCTGCTGGTAGTATTCATTATCTCTGTGGATAGGGATTAGGACATACAGCATTTCTTATGGCCCATCAGCAGTTACAAGTAATATCTGTACCTGATTTGAAAAATGTCACCAAGGTTACCTGAATTGAGCCCAACTTGCTGCATCTGGTTAAAAAACGTTTGATGACATCGGAGAACATCTTTGCTGCAGAGAGAGGAGATGAGCTAGTGTTTAAGGACCAGGTTCCTCGCTGCATCTCTTGTGTGGCCTGGGGCAAGTTGCACAGCCTCTCCATACCTCTATCTTGTACAGATGTTATCAGGTCCAATCTATCAAGAGGTGTTCAGATAGTGACTTTAATGGGGCCTGGAGAAAGACACACGCTAAAAATAAGCCTGAAAAGAGTGAGCTAGTGTAACAGAGGCAGGGAAGGACTACCCACTACCTACCCACCCTGCACAGCCACATTCCTGGTCACTATTATGCATACACGGTTGTGTAACATGGTTTTCAATGATCCAAACAGACCAAGGGAGAGCCCGCAACTCGCTCAGCTCTCACAGTCAATCAGTCACTAGGCTGTCACTAAAAACAATCAACAGACCTGCCCTTTGAATTCAGAACATCCCCAAAGTAACTGCACCCATCATTCACCCTGGGCAAGGCTGGTGAAGCCAAGCTCATGCCATGCCATGTTGACTCACCCCACTCCCATTCTGCCCTTTAAAAACTGTGTGGCAGACAGAGCCCTCAGTAGCTCAATTCGGATCTTACCTTGAGCTCTACTGATGCATTTTCCAAGCTAAATCAGGACTCCTTGCAAAGCAGATGCTGCACCCTTGCCTCCTCTTGATACATAACTCTGCGGATATTCTTGACCTACAGCTCCTATTGCAGCCCTGATCTTATCTCTGTAGGGGTGATCTGGTTTATATCAACTAGCCCATATTATGTGGGCATTGCTTTGTAAAGTTACCAGCTTATTTAAACACCTTTATATACCTCAGCTGTGTTTACCACCCACTCTGCAATGGCCTCAATGCACCTCATGGGCTCATGTTAATCTCTGCCAGTGCTTCTCCGTGTGAAACACTTCTAGACACTATGCCCCAGCCCCTGGCTCTCCATGCCCAGCGTAGTTTGACTGCCCCCTGCAACAGAGATGACTGGTACGGATCTGCATCAGGAAAGGAAAAAGTTTCACTCCCTGCCAACTGGTTACTTTCATTAGAGATTCAATCTGGCTTTGAAGGAATTTGTGGAATGAGGACTTCACCCAGACCCGGTGAGTGAAAGTGAAGCAATGGGCAGGGAGGGGATTTGTTTTCGTCAGGGGTCACTGCATGTTGAGTTATTTGCAGGCACCCACCCGTCTCCCAGGTGGCAGTGGAGGGGTGTATCCACAATGTCACACACACAGGTGCCTTCTGTCCACACTACTTGTTTATGTCTTCTGCTTTTGATTTGTACACAGCTGCATCACTGCATCGTTTAAGCCTGTTTTCTGCTATGTAGTAAGGGGATGTGTTTGTTTGCTTCCCAGAAAAAAATTAAGAACTGGTGCAATCTCTGGCTGTAACATGCAGTGTTTCTGTAGTGAAGAGAGAGGCGTTCATCCTGCTTAAAATACTGACATCGAGAGAGAGACTAGCTTTTATGATGCCAAGTCAACTGCGGTGATTAAAAGCCATGTTGAAGAGAGGAAGCCTTGGCTAAGATTCAAACAATCATTTGAGATGTGATAATTTGAATACATCTGACCTATTCCTTTACACTTTAAACGAGCTCTAGAAAAATAAAGGAAGTTTAGATTTGACATTATTATAAGCCGACCATTCAAAGTTTAAATGTGAACATTTAAAAGAAAACAATTAAGAAAACAACCCTCCCTGCTCTTTCTTTTGCATGCCATAGAGAAGCAGGGAATGGCAATCCTTTTAAAAGAGTGTATTGCTCATGTGCAAGCACTGCTTCTGGACAGAATCCAACTGCCTGGCAGTAAAATGGCCGAGAATTTCACAACAGTTCTCACACCCATGTACTATCTAGTGCACTTATTTCTCTGCCCTTCATAGAATAATAGAATCATTCAGGTTTTAGAATCCCTATTAGATCATCTAGTCCAACCTTTAATGTAGTACTGAAGCCCACCACTAAACCATGCTACTGAGTTCTACATCTACACATTTATTGAAGACCTATAGGGATAGTCACTCAACCACTACCCAGGGCAGCCTGTTCCAATGCTGCACAACAATTTCAGTAAAGAAATTTCTCTTAATATCCAACCTAAACTTTCCATGGTGCAACTTGAGGCCACTTCCACTTGTCTTTTACATGGTGCTCGGGAAAAGAGCCTGATACCCACCTCACTATAGCCTCCTTTAAGGTAATTGTAGATCATGATAAGGTCTTCCCTGAAGCCTCCTTTTCTCTAGGTTAAACAATCCCAGCTACCTCAGCTGCTCCTAATAAGACTTATTCTTATAACCCTTAACCAGCATTTTTGGCCTTCTTTGGACACTCTCCAGCACCTTCATGTCCTCCTTGTAATGAGGGGCCCAAAACAGAACACGGTACTCAAGGTGCAGCCTCACCAGAGCTGAGTACAGGGGGACGCTCACCTCCCTGATCCTGCTGGCCACACTGTTTCTGATACAAGCCAGGATGCTGTTGGCCTTCTTGGCCACCTGAGCACACTGTTGGCTCATATAAACCAGCTATTGACCGATACCCTGAGGTCCTTTCCAACGGGCAGATTTCCAGCCACTTTTTCCCCTACCTGTAGCTCTGCATGGGGTTGAGGTGCCCCAAGTACAGGACCCAGGCACTTGGCCTTGTTGAACCTCATGCAGTTGGCCTTGGCCCATCAGTCCAGGCTATCCATGTCCACCTGCAGAGCCCTCCTACCATCAAGCAGATCAACACTCATTCCTAACTTGGGGTTGTCTGGAAATTTACTGGAGGTGCACTCAATTCCCTCATCCAGATCATTGATAAAGATATAGAAGAGAACTGGCCCCAGTTCTGAGTCCTGGGGAATACCACTAGTGACAGGCCTCCAGCTGGATCTAGCTCCATTTACCACGACTCTTTGGGCCCAGCCATCCAGCCAGTTTTTAACCCAACAAAGTGTATGCCAGTCCAAGCCATGAGCAGCCAGTTTCTTCAGGAGAATGTTGTGGTAAATGGTGCCAAAAGCCTTACTGAAGTAGACCACATTCACAGCCTTTCCATCATCAACTGAGAACATCACCTTGTCATAGAAGGAGATCAGGTTCATCAAGCAGGACCTGAATTTCTTAAACCCGTGCTGATTGGGCCTGATTGCCTGGTTGTCCAGTAAATGCTGTGTGATGGCACTCAGGATAATCTCCATGAGCTTCCCTGGTGCCAGAGTCAGACTGACAAGCCTGTAGTTTTCCAGATCCTCCTTCCAGCCCTTCTTGTAGATGGGCGTCACATTTACTAACTGCCAGTCAGACTGAGACCTCCCCTGATAGCCAGAAGGCCATCATAATCCTGTGCAATTAATTTTTCTTCTTTCCTGTTCCTGCAACAAATTCTCTGCTATCAGGTACTCTTCTGCAGCTCTCTACCATTTCTCCTTGGAGCCCCCAAGTGAGGATGGGGAAAGTAAGCCATTTCCTTGGCCATGGGGACCTGTCTATATGATGTCTTCCAGGGCCCATGGGAAACAAGGAGTCTGAAGACAGTTACAAGCATGTCCAAGTTGGGAGTGCAATACAAGCTACTACTCAAACTTCAATCTGTTAAAGAAGTCTTGATATGAAGAGCTGATGACAGTAACATCTGAGATAAAGGCAATGAGACTAGAACAATGTTGGCCTGAAGAAATTCCCATCAGCCAGGAGCTATTCATATCAGACAACAGGAATACCCATGGGCTGGATGGGAAATTGTCCCAAATTTCCCAGGCTGGAAATTCAAGGATGACCCTTACTCATCATGCTAATGCAGGTGAAGTTACTTCCCAAAAGCTCAGGAAAGCTATGAAGACCTGAGGTCAAGAACCCAACAGAAGCCCAAAGAAGCCAACAGGGAAACCTCATTGCTGACATTGACGACTGTGAATATGGAGGCTGCAAGCAGCACAGATGGAGGGAAGGGTGAGGATGTGTAGGCACAAGAGATACAGAGTTTTTCTTTCTTGTTGGCACCAGGTGTTGTTATTCAAGGCAGCAAAGAACAGACATATTTCTGAATCTCACTGTCATTCCCTCCCTGTGCTCAAACTTGTTTCTGAGAACAGCAAAAATACTTATCTCTTCTTCCTTCCTGGTCTACCTAATGTTCAGCTTCATCACAAGCACCACAATACTGTAACCGAGCCAACAGCTTTCCTTCACTCTGTATGTGACCTGTTTATGACTCCCTTTCATCTCACCCATGTTCCACCAAAACCATTTCAACAATTGTTTCCATGACCTGGTTTTGTACAGATTTGTGTCTGTTGTTTCCCTTAATGTCTGTGAAAGCTGAGGTCACCACACAGTCTTTCACAATTAGAAGACCTCTCTCTTTTCTATCCCTACACCTTTCATAACAATTTTAAGGACTGGACTGGTTCAAAAGTTCTTAGAGACAGTCAGATGGGCAGAAAATGCACCTCTATGTATGTAACCGGTGTGACAATTGAAGGAAAAGTGGTTAAGAAATTATCAAAATATGTTTCATTACACAGTTCTATACTTACTAAACACTGAGCCCTGTCCAGATCTTCAACAAAGCACACAGGTGATTTCCAATTAAAGTTTAATCACAAAACATAATGGCTACCCAGAGAAATCTTGCCTAGCTAGATTCATACCTAAATTAGATATAGAAACTTCTACTGTCTCATTTCTTCATAGAACTCCATAGGAAGATGTAAAGTCTACACAAAGGAAAAACATAAATTCTTGCAGGACTTTTATCAGTGATCCATAAAAGTCGAGAATTCACCAATGCAGAAGAAATTCAAACGCAGGCATTATCAGGGCCTCCACCACAATATTATTTCCCCTTGTGGTTGTTTTTAACATGGGTTCTGAGTTAAGGATTAATCAAAACCAAGAAGGAGCCATGTAACCCATTATACTACCTGCTAAGAACTCCCCTAACAAGCTCTGGAGGTGGGATATATGCACATGTGACTCAGAAATTCAAGATGGGTAAAGGATATATAAAAATAAAAAAAATAAATAAAAAAAAAAACATTATCACAGAAAAACATCACAGAAAACAAAATCACAGAAAACAAAATACAAACAATTTACTACTTTTCTAACCTTCAGGGTCTGGTCCAGCAAGTTCCAGGCTGAGAGGTTTCAGCTGCACTAAAAAATTAAGCCAAGCTAGGGAAAACTTCTGGGCACAGAAAATTAGCCATGCCTACTGTTACCAGCGTGGGTTAGGCCCAAGGACCTGCCAAACAGTTCCTGGGTATGAAAAAGGAATTAACACAAGCTAGTGACCATTTCCAGGAGGTGGTTTGGATGTCATCACTTTTTTTTTTTTGGCAGAAAGAAGAGACACACCATTCATCGCCTGTCAAATTCAGTGACAGAGACTGGTTGTAGGCATCTTTAATTTTTTAGGTACTTTACAAAATCAGTTTTAACCAAAAAACCATATCTGTTGAAGTTGAAATATGCAGAAAATATTGAAGAAGATGATTTTTTTTTCAGACACTGAATAATTGTGAGTAAAATATGGTACGATGCTCTCATCTAAATGTGGGATTTCTGGGGCAGGAGACAGAAACACTCATGCTGGAAGGATAGTTAGCCTGACCCAGCAGCTGGTATATAAATCTCAATTACTACAGCACCAATCTGTGCAAGCTAAACTGGTTTGTCATTAATTAATATCAGCAGCTACATGCTAAATATCCTGAGGATGAAAATCCCTCTTCCAAATAGTTGCAGTTCTCAGTCTGAGCCATTCCCTCCAAAATCCTTGGGAAAGTGCCTTCAGCCAAGTCTGTACCTCACCCCCAGTCAAGGTTGCCAAAAGAAACATCTCTTTCCTTTGCCTGTACATGGCACAGCTGCGTATTTGTATTCTCCTTTTTCAGCAGGCATAGCTATTATCCAAACTGCATCAGCTCATTTACCCATAAAAGTGGACTTCCAAATTTATAGGACTCTTGTGCTGAGGGAGGTCTACATGGGTAACACTATACCCCCTTGATTTCCAATAAACACCTTCTAGAGAAGTGACTTTTCCCCAGAGACCATTTGAGTGAAAAAGATGCAAAGGACA